TCAGTAATCACCTAGTTGCCATTGAAATAAAGTTCTACATCGACAAAATTTAAAGAAATATGAGGGAGATATATATGTAAAAGATTGAAATTTATTTCATAACTGCAGAATATATAACGTCTTCCGTCTGCAAAACATGGCAAACATTTTGTGACAGGCGAGCTAACGTCTTAACCTTGACATTGTGGCCTTCAAACGAACCACGCACGTACACCTTCGTTCAAGTATTGTTAGTCATGTGCATATTGAAAACGTGCTTCAAGTGTAGGTATATCCAGAACGAAGCGTCGTCACATAAACCAACGCACGTCTCTGAATGTCAATCGGTCGCCGTGCAGTCTTCGGAAGTATTTCGAAATACAACTGTCAGTGTTGCTGCTTGGGGACTGGCCGTGTAGGCAATGACTGACTACACTGAGAGCTGGTTAGTGGAGTGAGTGGGGGATCGGAAACAGACTTCAGTACGTTATTATTGTATTGTGCCTAAAGGGAAGACATATTATTAGATGTCAGTAGAACTTTGTCAAAGGACGAAACATGATAATGGCCCACAGAATCCGTATAAATGAAGACCACAACATATTACATTAGTTAGGGATGGTTGTGAGAATTGACCATTGAGATAAAAGACTTTGATAAAATGTTTTGAAATAATGGTTTTGGGGGCGGTGGGTAGCTAGTGGTTAAAGGGTTCGCTCATCACGCCAGAGACCCGGATTCGTTTCCCAACATGGGCATAATGTGTGAAGTCCATTTCTGGTGTCCCCTGCCCTGATATTACTGGAATATTGCTAAAAGTGGCGTGAAACTATACCCACTCGCTCACTCACGTGAAAGGCTTCTGGTATTGGAACATGAGCAGGTAATTGATCCCAGCTGAATTTCATAAGTTCTGTGGATAGAAAAGCAGTACCAACATGATATATGTGGTAAATATGAAATGGCAACGCGAGGGAGTCCTCTGTCTCGATTATCTGCTGAAACAGAATCTGATGCAAGTATGTGTAAAACACAGAACAGTGATGAAAATATATGATGGGTCGTTTAAAATAAGTTGTCACACAGAGTGTTAACGAACAGAACAAGTACGTTCTGTTCTATCGGTAGCATGCACTCGCCATTTACTCTATGAACGCTAAAGTAAGTATTTGTCGTCAAATGCCGCACCCAAAAATACCACAGCAACCATTAAATGTGAGTCTCGACGACAAAATCCAGTGATACCAAGTATGGGCCAGAACATCAATAGCGCATTAATATATATCATCACATACTTCATACTTTCATACTTTGACTTTCATTTCGCGTTCTCTCAGTTTTGCTATTCGTATGCATTTGATAAAGGAAAACAGCTAGGTGTCAATTATTTGAACATGTTTTTATTTGTCATTTCAAGTGGGTCATAAAAAGCCCTTAACGCGTTACGCAAATTATATATATTTAATAAATGTTAAAACCTTCACCGAAAACACGACTGCTAATCGTATCTCTGAATCCAATTGATGCGAAGGATATGCGAGGGGCATGCAGTGGCAAGCAACACAGTAAAAACAACAACAACAACAACAACAACAGGTAATTAATAGCAAGAAGCACAAATTGGATGAGGCTAGGAGTGTAAGATCAGCATAAAACACACAAGTCTTGAAGCCAATACAACAAAGTACTGAACTGTCAACAGGCAGATTCAATGCAAACTGAATATTGATTGATAGTGTGTATCTGTGAATCAAGTTTTATGTGAGAATGTCGAAATCCATTCATCGACCAAGCGACTGACTGTTTCAACCAACTATTCAATGATCACCCAATCAGCATGTTTAACCATTTAATCCTTAACGACCTGGAAGCCGTGGTGGCTGAGTGGGTTAGATCGTTGAGTTTGTGTGCTGGCGATTAGGTGACTGATTCTGAGAGTGTGGGTTCGAATCCAGGAGGGGACTTAACTTAACCAAAATACTATAATCTGTAACTTACTGAGAAAGTGTAATACCAACTATAACATATGTTACATTTGACCACTTTGTAAATGGCATTTTGTATTCGTATTCATAACGACGGACATCGAAACATCAGTCTAGGCAATGAACAAGCAGTTGTAATCCCAAAAGTCGTATGCTTAGTTATTTCTCCCCATACTATTTATTGCATGCAATAAAGGCAAGAAGTGAGGTCTGCGTGACAATGTTTGTTTTTTCAGGGGGCGGTGGGGTAGCCTAATGGTTAAAAGCGTCCGCTCGTCACGCTGAAGACCCGAGATCGATTCCCCACATGGGTACAATGTGTGGAGCCCATAATATTGCTGGAATATTTCTGTTTCTGAATCACCAATATTTTGAATGTGCATCATGTAGATCCTTCTTTTATCTGTATATTGATATATAATACAACCCGTTACCCAAGTTGTCTCGAGTTACGTTCTGCTATTTCCAAAACTTAAGTAAACTGTTACCTTCCAAAAAGATCTCAGATTCAAAACGCTTATCAACATTTATTGTACATCTCTAATTTACTTAGAAACACTCAGCTTCTTGATGTATGTTTTATTCTATGGCATTGAGTGAGCAAGTGAGTTTAGTTTTACGCTGTTTTTAGCAATATTCCAGCAATATCGCGGCGGGGGACACCTGAGTACCAGAAATGGGCTTCACATATTGTACCCATGTGGGGAATCGAGCCCGGGTCTTCGGCGTGACGATCGAACGCTTTAACCATTAGGCTACCCCACCGCCCCTTTATGACATTGACTGTATACTCCCGAACCACCACTTTTGGTTTAAATTGAGTTTATATATGCGTGCAGAAAATAAGAGGTTGATATCTTCATATAACATCTTTGAATAGAAAACATATTTGCAAATAAATGACTGCCACACAGAGGTACAGATAAGCTGCGTATCTGCGCATGCGTAAATTACGCAAATATTTGTGTAAAAACTCAATTCCTATTAAGTCTATTGCGTACAAGTACGCTTGAATTTTTGTCAAATACTCAATAAATGTGATCTTACATGCGTACATACAAAAATGTCAAATCTTAGCTTGCGTACCGGTGGATAGATAAAATAACTGAGGTGTACTGAGAGGTTCTATTACAGCACATGAACTTGACAACTTGCAGTCTTTCTGATCGTTTCTCATATTACAAATTTAAATAAATATAAATAACAAACACTAACATTTAAACTTTATTATATTTTAAGATTAATGGAAAATGGCAAAATACCCAATTGAGTTTGAGTGAGGTGAGTACAATATACTTGGTTACTGAAAGGACAATTAGGCTACCCAATTGAGATGAACAGAAGCAAGTGTCCAGATGTCTTTCTCAGCTCATCAAAGAATGATGAGTTAGTCATGTCATCATAACACAAGCAATACTTCCTTCATATCAATTCGTGTCTATTGTTCCTAATAGTCCTAGTGTATTCCTAGTTGACATGTTAGTCATTGTCAACAATGTCAAGATCACGGGAACATGTTTCAAGTCCACATCCACATGCTGAAGTACACAACAGGTTCAACCTCTTTGACACCTTCCTGAGTTCCTGTACATTGACTTTTACAAGCACAGTTATGAATTTGAAGAAGGTCTACGGAAACGATTTAGTCTTAACTTATTTGCAAATTTAAGGTAAATTTAACAAAATTATGTTTTTACAATTCAGCTATATCATTTGAAGATCATACCTACCTTTGGTTGGCACTGCATGCATGAAAACCAACAATTCAGCTGATGTCAGAAGGGGATATGTTTTGATAAGTGTCAATATTGTTTATATTTGTGTCACTTCACGCTCCAGCTGCACTGACATGCCGTGAAACCCTTAAAGCTGGTGGATAATAGTATGACATCCTAATGGAAGGTTTACAATTGACATTATGGTGTGCCATTTTTTCTGTTTACAATGTGAAATATTACGACTTTTTACACCGGCAATCATTAATATATTGTTAAAGATATGACACACTGATCAGAAAGGCGTCATGGTATCTTACAACCAAATGTACACACCCCTCATATACCTCTGAAATACACAATATTTCCAATTCATTCCTTTTGATTGTAATAGATGATGTAATTCCCGAGTCTTTTCTAAGTTTACTTGGGTTCGAAAAATGAATATTTCCTTAGGTGGGGAAACATTTCAATCGTAAATTGGTAAATTTTCAAATGTTTTCATGGCTTAAAAGCTGGTGATGGTTTCCACTAGATCACCAGCTTCATCACTTCGTTTCAACCAATTGTCAGTTCTTCAGACAAATGTAAGTGGGAAAAAAGGCTACAGGCTACAGACAGATGTTATGGACTTAAATGTTGTCATTCACATTGAGGTTTGATAGTTGTTTAGGCTATGCAATATGTTATTACTTCGACCAGGTTTATTGGGTGTTAACTGACAACAATATTACAGTTTGCAACATGTTTCGCATCCATGCATTATATAATTCTTTCAGGTAAGCATGTTTTCAAATGTATTGATTTAGTATTTCAAGCAACGCTGCAGGTTATCTGGAGGTCGTGGACGTATCAACGTATTAACGCCTTGAACAGATAGACCTGTGAAGGTCCGGGTTAGTATGAATCTTCAGTAACCCATGTTTGTCGGAAGAGGTGACTAACGGAATCGGGTGGTCAGGCTCGCTGGCTTGGTTGACACATGTCATCGGTTCCAAACTGCGCAGATCGATGCTCATACTGTTGATCACTGGATTGTCTGGTCCAGACTCGATTATTTACAGACGCCGCCATATAGCTGGAATATTACTGAGTGCGGCGTAAAACTAAACTCACTCACTCACTTGAACAGATACCTCCGATCTTTCCTCTATTTCCACTACCCCATGTATAATTGGAGAAAATAATCATGCTGATTAAAAGATCGCACAAGAAATCATACATACAATGTACGCGGATTAACCTTAAGTTTCCATATTCCATAAAATCAAGCAGATATTCAATATCATAAATACACGACGTTTCTGGGCTACTAAGAAGCAGCCAAGAAATGTCGTGTTGTAAATAATAAAGAAGTTGTACATCCATACCATACGTTGTTACGTTTCCTTCCAACTTCAAAATGCCCATCAAGCGTCTACATGTTGATCAGTTTACAGTGCAAACAATATGAAAAGTTACCCATGATTAAATGTAGTGATTAGGATGTAGTTGTGTGGCATTTCACCAATAAGCGTGCTCGCACGCACGCACACACACAATCAAGTCACCAGGAAAAAACGGGAGCTCATGGTGCAAACAAAAAGTAGGTCACTTAGTTCGCTACTCGCTGTTAGTGAGAAAATAATCAATTAATCCTGCTTAGGTGGAGTTCATCTTGAATAGCCCCAGCCCATACAAATGCAACAAAATAACAAATAAACAAACACATGCACAAAACCCATTGCATAAAAAGGCTACACAGCGTGCAAGTTTAATATTGGATCTAACAACAGTTGTTTAATGTGGGAGAAATTCAGAATTATAGATATGGTCTTGAAAAAACACCAAGCATATCCGGAGCATGTTTGGATCCATAATTACGGGATCCTGGCACGTTATACAAAGCGTAAGCCTCTGAAAATAGGAAATCTTTATGGCAATATATAACTCGTATATACTGAATTAGCTCCAGTGAGCTCGGAGATTCCGAACCATTTGGGGTCTAGACTGGCTTCATTTTGGACTATTGCATTACAGAAGGGGCTGGGCCGAAAGTTTGGAGTATGAGACTACTGGCATGTGTAAGGTCCCAGCGATACAGAGGGAATGTGGTTCTTACATGGAGGGAAACGCATTTAAAAAACCTAATCTCCTAGTAATATCAGCATTCATATTTCGAAAAATTAATATATAGATCTGAGCAATCAGAAGATGTCCTTCATTTGAAACACACTTAGCTGATCACAGCTGGTGGCTTCATAATATCTGTTGGAACAATGCAGCTGACTACAGCTGACTTGGTAATGTTAATCTAGGTGAGGTCTGTCAATATGTTAGAGCTGACGTTGTGCTGTCATCGCTCATCAGCTGATGAAGATAATGATTCACGTGAGCCAATTCCATGATGCGATAACTATTGTCGCTCTCATTCACTCTCTGCTTGAAGGACAACGTAGTCATGCGAGATACTGAAATCTGAAAATGAACGACAGGTGGTCTTTTAGTATCTATCTAGACGAGGTCACCCACTACTGTCAATATGTATAGACGATTCAAGGTTTTCCGCGCAAAATATAATTCTAAAGCATCTGTCAACGTATATACTATCTTCTGTGCGTGTATTGAATAGCTGATAGTAATCAAATGCAACTTGACAATTGGCTCTCTGAGGTACAACGTATGCAGAGACCAGAAACGATATTGGTGACATACATTCTGTTGTCAATAATAGGATTTGGAATGATCTACAATAGATATCATGAGACTGACTATGCATTTATTCACTAACCATTATCACAGCGAACTAATGTGATCGGTTGGTCGTTCTCATTTACTTGTTTGATTCATGCCATCGTATCCCACTTGTGAAGATCGATGCTAATAGAGTCATGACCATGCTATGTGTAACTGTTTTGTGTATATCATGACATATTACTAACACCGAGGTATGCATATTTTTATGAACGTTATAGTAGAAGCAAGATGTTTATATGAATATTGTCTAGAATTTCTTTGAGTTGTCCATTAACGTAGGCACTTAATGTTTTGTTTTAAAGAAGTACGTTTCTGTCGTAATATATCTTCATCAAATATTCCTCTGTTCCTCTGTGATAAAGTTGCAAATAAGTTAAGACTTAATTGTTTCCCTGGACCTTCTTCAAGATATCTGTGCGTGTAAACATTTATGTACAGGAAGGTGTTGCTGCAAGAGGTTGAACCTGTTGTGTGCTTCAGCATGTGGATGTGGACTTGAAACATGTTCCCGTGATCTTGACAATGTTGATATTGACTAACATGTCATCCAAAATTTCCTTCGGGATAATAAAATATTATCTTATCTTATCTTAACTGGGAATATACTATGACTATTAAAAACAATAAATACGAACTGATATGAAGGCAATGTTGTTTGCGTTATGATGACATGACTGTTTGTATATTTGGTAGTAAGATACCATAACGCCTTTCTCATCAGTGTGTCATATATTTTACAATGTATTAATAATTGCCGGTGTAAAAGAAATCAAGAAAACCAAAGTCGTAATATTTCACATTGTACACAGAAAAATGGCACACCATAATGTCACTTGTAAACCTTCCTTTAGGATGTCATACTATTATCAATCAGCTTTAAGGGTTTCACGGCATGTCAGTGCAATACTGACACTTATCAAAACATATCTCCTTCTGACAGCTAAATTGTTGTTTCTGCCAGAATGTCAATAAACGCAAATTTATATGATAGTTCAACAGTATCTTCGACATATTTAGTATTGTTGATACTTTGTAAAGCATGGAGGTGAAATTCTCTTATATGTTGCTGATCTAAATACAAAGTACCAACCTTTGGTTTCCTTGTAATGGTTTTTTTATGCATTAAGTGCCAACCAAAGGTATATATGATCTTCAAATGATATAGCTGAATCAGAAAAACATAATTTTGGAAAGAAAAATGCCTTTAATTTGTAACGTTCAACTCATATTTTCTCATCAAATGCCCTTTCTATCAAAATTTACCTTTGACCTTACCAAAATATTTTTGCGATGATCATATATGTTATTTTATTTGTCTACAATTTTAAATCATGATCTGAGCATTCCCAAACTACTATTTTGATGAAAATCAGTCAATCCAAACCAGAGTTATTAAATTAAACCATCCAGTTTGGTCGCCAGAACTGCACCACATTTTCACAATTTTGGGGGTCTGGCTTCTAGACTAATGGCCCAGAACGTTGTCCGTAGCTCTGTAAATGCGATGTTAATACCATACTTCGATGTAGAGCGTGGCTTCCATGTAAATGACATTATGACATTATGACACTGATGTAACATGCTCAGGCAATTTTCCCCATAATGTTTCTTTCTTCAAGATATACCTAACGCACAGAGACAAAACAAAGTGTACCGCTCATTACATCAGTGAAATTCGTCCGTGAGTAAGCAACCATTGGGAATGCCTGTCTGGGATGATAAAAGTTTATCTGATAAGTATCCTGGTCAGTTGAGTATCTTAACTGATTTAAAATCTACCTGTACCAAGTTGCAGTTTCTTAGTTAAGTAACTAAGGTAGTTATATTTCCCATCATTACATGTGTCATCAAACCATCACTTATACCCTTACAATGTTATCTGATCCATTTCATCACACAACATATATCTCATTCGATATCTTGAAGCTGCATATGATAGCATATACAATCTTACTGAACCAGTTCTTTTTGAAGTACGAAATCAATTTCCTTCTTCAAATACAACGAGTGTTCCAAGATCCATGTTCATTATGTTTACAAACGACATGATTGTAAATAACCATCAGTTTGGATGCTGTATATGATTGCTGTACACAACGTGGGTTCAGTTTTAATGGTTTATTGCATACTGTTCGTCAGAGATGGGGAATTACATTGAAACTATAAGCAAGGTTTGTGCCTTGAGACTTTGTTTGGCTTGTAGGGTTACATATGCCAGAGATATCAAGAAAATCTTTACATGTTACTGAGATACTTTCTTGTCTTAAAAAGTGTCTATTAAAATCATTAGTGGTCATATACCACTTGTTAATAATATCAGTTGTATGCTTCTCTCGAGGGTAATACGGTCTGATGTACGCCTCTTTGTAGCAGTGTTATGTGAGCCGGTAGGCGAGGGATCACACATGATACAAAGAGGCATACATCAGACCGTATTACCCGAGGGAGAGACATACAACGCATTTATCTTACCGCCATGTTAAACGTACAAAATATCGTTTTATTTTATTTGGAAGATCGCATGTTATTTTATTGAAGGTAAGATAATATCTATTTGTAACATTTGTATATATTGTCTGTTTTACAATACATTCACAGTCATATCTTGACTATGTGAACAACATTTACCAGAATTCAAAAGTATTGCAAAATCGTAATTAAAAGCGAAATTGCACCATTTATTTATACATTCGGATGGCTCAGCACAAACCAAATTCAACCCTCTTAAGTGATAATAAACAAGCTTCCCCTGCCTGTACAATCCACTCCGTTGGTCAATTTGCTTGGTGGACTGGAGCATGTTAGTAATCATAAAGTGTACAGAACGAACCGTCAGCTCAGCACAAACCAATTTGAACACACTTTGATTATAATATACATGTCACCGTTTGTACAATCACCCCTGTCTGTTAATCTGCTATGTGCATCAGGCCATAATATCTACTCACATGCTTTGCAACGCGCGAGGAAAAGTACAAAGCAATTCATCTCCCTACCTGTCAATATCATTGCAAGGAGAGTATGTCGTCCCGCTATCACAGCATAGTGGTAATTGAAGCTCAAGGCCAAATTTCAGTAATGTTACACGCCACCGTAGCACGACGTAAAGAACTCTATTTAGCCCATACAGGACAGTCATATATCAGTTCATACTAATTTTAAGCCTTTTGCCAATATATACAGGGAATAACAAAATCCCATCTAAACAAAATTGTTTAGGTCTTATATATCTCATCAAAACAAAGTTGTAAATTAAGCTTCGTAATGTATTCATTACATGACACATACAAGCTTGTATATCTATCTACAGTTTGTTGCAGTGGAAATGAAAACAGTATATATAATACAATACGTTATATATCGTTTACCTCTTAAGGTTACTCGTTGGTGGATGGTGAGTCATCAACCTACGCACAACTAACACTGGTACTTACATATACCAGTAGAAAACCATTATGAACTTTTTCAGTAATGGAGCCACATCCTTGACATTAGGATGTCCCTGAACAAATCGTTATGTGACTATTGCGAGACGCATTTAAACTAATTAGCACCAGGGAGTGGTGATTTAAACGTTTGTTCGACTAAAATTTCTCACATTGGTGCATTGCATTAATTGAATTTGTGGTGTCTCCGGCGAAGGTATTCCTGGAATGATGCTGAAAGCGACATTTGCGACCAATCAAATTTTGCACTTACCTCCAACCCTGCAAATTAGTCCAGATAGAACAATTTCCTGGGTTGGAATGTTGGTAGATTTACGTGCGGGACAAACTCCACAATCGCTTTAACAATCACTGGAGATGAGATCTGAGGTCATATCTCTCTTGGAAATGTTCTGCCGGTAAGGCAGGACATAGAATAAATTTCGTTGTAAAAGGCAGAGAGCTAGTTGGCAACCAGCTGACTCCTCTGTGTTTCCTTCCATTGATCACTTTGTTGCTATTAACACATGCTTAACAATTTGATCCGAGTCAAAAAGCGATTTAATTATTCAATATATCCTACTGATAATGTTAAATAGGAAGTCAAAACTGTTTTCCTAAAAAGAAACCAAACAGAAAGTACCAACCCATAAGAAAAAAACCACCGAACCTTGACCTGATTACTGGACTGTGTGTTCACAGATATTGGGTGGACTCCCGTATTCCATTACAAATAGCTAAGTGGTGTGTATTTGATGTAGTAATACGAGACCCATTTATTTAATTATTTATGACCATAAAACTCAAATAAAATCATAATATATTTATGATAAGTCTTATAATGTCCAGAGGACTAGTGTCTCACAAATGGAGTATGATCGGGACTAATAGTGAGTGAGTATGGTTTTACGCCGCGTTTAGCTATATTCCAGCAATGGGTAATCGAACCCTGGTCTTCGGCGTGACGAGCGAACGCTTTAACCACTAGGCTACCCCACCACCCCTGAAACTATACGAGGTTCTGATGAGTGATGGTATGTGGATGTGAAACACCTCACTTACTAGTATAGTTTGATGCCGGGCTGTTATGTGAGAACGTGTTCAATTATACGTAGTACCAGCTATATGTGCCTTCGACAGTGTGTAATAAACAATTATTTGACGATTTTAAACTTGACTTCAGTCTAACAGCATCACAACAATCAATACTGGCTGTGCCTTCACCACCACTATTCAGAAACATATGAGCTGCCGAGCAAACGGAATTGAAACTGTTAGAGTGTGAATAAATAAATTCTTTGGCCCAAAAAGGCAAACAGGTTGAATTCACAGCGAAAATCATCTGTAAGAAGTATAAGCATTCCAAGAAAAATTGCAGTTCTCAATTTTCTCTTTTAAGCGAAAATCATCTGTTAGAGGTATATGCCTTCAGAGAATGTCGTTATTCGTAATTTTCTCCTTTTTGATGAAAGCACGATGTAAGTTCATACTATGTATAAAAAGCAGGCGGTTTATCACAGAAGACACGAAGAAAATCCCAAGAAACAGAGAAGACCCGAGTCTTGGCATGACGCTGACGAAGGGTAACGCATGCATGCCCGTATTTCAATAAAGGTCATGTGCAGCTGACTGACCATTGCTGGACTATAGAATAGTTGCTTTTTTGGACTGAAGAAAAAAAATAACGTATCGTCTGTATTTTGTGAAGGGAAAAGTGACAGTTGTAAAAATGTTTCATTGGTTATTTTTAATTCACCCCAGACGCAATGAAGTTGTCTTTTGACTTCTACCAAAATTGATTTGAACGTCAACATACAGTTAATGAAAGGTATGTATATTCTCGTTTGATTTTATAAGCACACCACATGGTTGTATAATTTTGTTATCAGTCGATTATATTACCAATACCAATTTCTGGAGTTAAACGGGAATCGTAAAGAGATAACTTGCCAAAGCTTAGACGATAAATACTTTTACAGACTTTATAACAGTTTATTGAATCAATCTGCGAACATGTAACATGCCCAATAACAGGTAAAATATAAATGATACAAATATATTTGACGCACTGAGTCAAATATCAGATATCATACAACCCTGTCGGAAATCCTGGTATAGATAAGTGCCCAGTAGCCCATATTAGTCCCCTATAATAATAATAATATCATTTCTCTGGCTCTGAACTACACTCTTAACGCACACAACCTAATGGACATTATTACCCCGGTTAACCAAAGCTGCCCTTGAGGTGTTAGAAGGTTAATAGTCACATGACGTATCCCAACGGGTACCCATTCACTGCTGGGTGAACAGAGGCAATTTTGAACAAACTCACCTGCCTAAGGTGACACCACATGTTTCACGTGCGGTTCGTTGCGGGACAGGAACAGAAACCCTAGAGCCAAGCTGTAAAACACGGTCACCCATCCAAGGACTGTCAACTATTACGAAACTGGTTTTGGTTTCAGAAACTGGTGTCTCTTGTTATAAACGAGTATCCAGTTTCGGATACATGGTTTCAAAGAGAAACTAGTTTCTAGTTTTATAAACGAGTGGATGGTTTCACCATCCGGTTTCAAAATGGATACAAAAAAATGTCTCAGCTACTATATATGTGGAAGGAATTGGATGACAGCATTGCCGAAGGTAATTTTTTTGTCATTTTATCAGGGAATGAACAAATAATAAAGAGATGAGATGCTTATGGAGGTAAATATTTGCGTATAAGTAATTATACTGTACAAGCAATTATATGTATACAAGTTACATAAAATAGTCACGTTCAATAGACTGGGGTTTTAAATAATATGTTCCTTGTTCTGTTGATTTTTATCATTGTTTGGTTACAGAAACTGCTGCTCTATTTGGCCACCAAGATCAGCTGAACTTCGTTTCCGCCATGTTTGTTGTGAGGGAACGTGAAACCGAAACTGCGAAACCTGCCTCGGAATTTCAGAACCCAATTTTAGGTTTCGACATAATCTAGTGCATGGTTTTGCAGAAACCAAAACCGGTTTAGCACAATCGAATGGGCCCTGATTCGTAACCTGGACTCTGCCACAAGGCCACAAGGCTACACACTACCACCCTATGTCTCCAGGACTTGCATCTCGGTAAACCTGCTAGGTCGTAATTCAGTCTCAAGGCAACAGCACGCCGATTGTCAGCAATGTGGTATACCATAATGAAACATACTAAATTACTTTTAGACTTTGACAAAATGTTCCTTTGGAATACGTTGTTAAAATAAATATAATTTGTTTGTTATCTGTGTGTTTGTTATCTGTGTGTATAAGTCGCACTGGCGTGATGCTCGTGGAACATGATCTCCGCTTCCACTCTAGAATGCTAGGACAATGCTGTTTCGTGAGGCTGTAGACGAATCTGTTTCGGGTTGTAGTTGAGACATATATGTAATCGATTATTCTTTGACACTGACAATGTATGGCAAGGTTGACGTCCTCAAATCATTCGAAACGGGTTTTAGCCCCCTGCGTCAATTATTTCCGAAAAATATGAAAAAGTACTTTGCGTTTAAACAAAAAATTGTTCGGTCAATTTCAAATGTTCTTCAGATAATAAGATAACATACGTATGAATAATTCAAAACCAACTGTTCACTTGCCAAAAAATATTCGTTAAAAACAATAATGTGTAAAGTTACAAATATTCATGATAAGGGGCACATCAACATCAACTGCTCTAGAATTGCCAACACGATGGGACTACAGATTCAGTTCAGTTCATGGTCAGGTGCGTTTTTCGTTTCCACGTCTTCATTGTACATAGAACAACCATATTCTTTGAATTATTATTTGCAGTTGGCTGTTGCTGGACGTGGTCCAACAATATGGAATTTATATCTGGGAATGTCAAATGTTAAGCAATGCAGTTTTAAGAATAGAACATTCATATCGTAATTTAAACAAACTACTCGCCTCTCATGGCAAACAATATTTTCTCTTGGACCAGTTCTGGGTGCTGGTGTGCAAAGCGATCTTAGTGCTAAGGTGACCGTAACATTGACTTAAAGTAGTCTTAGCGCTTAGTGTGTTTTGTACAACGGCACCCTGGTCGTGACCATACGAGTAAGACTTGGTTTTCAGCAACCCATGCGTGGCTAGCAGGTGGTCACATGGTTCATGCACGTCATCGTATCCCAGTTTCATCGATGCTCATTATGTCAATCACTGGATTGTCTGGTCCAGATTTCAGACTGGCGTCAGAGCTGGGACATCGCTAATTGCGTTAAACAACAAACAAACAAACAAACGAACAAACAAACAGAAAACAAAATAAATCACGCTCGGAATAAAAAACCGTGAACCATTTACCAGATCCGAGGTTTAGATTTCTCAGATGGGAACCCAGTTAAAAAACAATGATGAAACAAGACTGATTAATGTGATACATGGAAACAAAGTTTAATTCTCTGTGAAGTAAAGTTGACCAATAAACTAATGCGTGCCCTGGTTTTGGGAAAGATGTTGCGTCAGTAAAAGAGGCTAATGTCTAATGTCTTTGTTAACAGCATTTGCCCTTCCTACGACATAAATGATATATAGAATAAATGCCTGAAGACCGTTGACATATTGAAAGTCGTTAGGAATTCAATATTGGAGGTGATCAGACATCTCTGAAACTTTCCCATTTTAAATCGGAGTCCGTCATCTATTATGATCTTATATATATTTTATTAACTATATATAAATAATTTAAACCATAATTGATGAATATGATACGTTGTTGCTTTAAAACTTTGATGATACCTCGAATCAATATTCAGACAAGAAGACAAAGTCATCATTATCCCCGCAACGGTAAAATATACATCATGAATATATCAACCCTTTATGACTATGTCAAATGTACGGTTTAATGTACCTCAGTAATGTTGATACTGGAAATAGAGTGGAACTTTTGATTTATGTCATTAGATTCTTGGATACCCACAAAGTGGAAAGAGAATAAAGTTCTGCTCCGAAAGAGAGCACCAACACCAATTTCAGTAGAAGTCAAACTTGTTGCCATGGAGACGCAAGACATATTTCATTGACAAATTTAAAATTACCAAAAGGCACCAGTTCACAACCAGACCTATCTATGTGCCAAATTTGGTGAAGAAACATTGAACGGTTTTAAGGTTCTGCTCTGGACGGTCGGACGCGTTGCGGGGGATAATTTGTATACATGTACACTTAAAAGTATTAGTGGTGCCCACGCCTAATTTACTCTTTCATGTAAAACAAGTTTAGTAGAATTAGACTAGAGGTTAAAAAACTGAGAGCTATTTTTGTTGTATTTGTTTGCTGTTCAACGTCGCACCCAGCGATAGTCGAGTCTGAACCAGGCAATCCAGTGATCAACCAAGTCAGCGAGCCTGACCATCCAATCCTATTAGACGGCTCTTATGACAAGCATGGTATGCTGAAGACCAATTCTAACCTGCATCTTCACGGGTCTGAGAAACATTGGTGTCTGTGACACATTTAACGAGGAAAAGGAGACACAGTGTCACGGGGCTTGGGCTTAGTAAGGTACTGATTAAATCGAACAAAGGTCTTCGTTCTGAGGAGCGAACTCTTTAACCACTACGCTACTCCGCCGCCACTTTAATAACAAGATCACATGGCCTCACTGTATTCTGTTCTGGTTAATAATGTGTATCTGCATCAATTGAACAAGGAAATCTTGAGCTCCGTTGAGGTTAAGAAATATTGAATGAGTCACATCAACTTGCTCACCACAAAAACATCTTGACAGATTTATTACCAAACAACAGCATGGTCTCACGGAGCACGTCACCAGTGCCGTTACGTAGAACCATGACGCCCACGATAATGCAGCAAGCGATTAAAAGTGGATTATCTTTCAGTTATAAAATTTAATGATGTATTCAAAAGGTCATTTATATTGATGGGTGACCCGTGCGGGAGAAGAATATATGGCCATAACTCTCTAACATATCAATTCTTTATGCCGGTGTATGCAAAATGTCATCCTTGTATCCTGAGCAGTTTCGAAAAGCACAGATTTGTCCCTTATCGATAATGTATTCCTTCGTCTTGCATGTAGTATGCATTCTTATATCCAGAACCTTATTGAGAAAAGTTCCCCACTGTGCGGGTTCAGTGTACCATGTTTAAACTAATATGGATAAATATAAGGTAAATATAACATATATTCACGATAGTGGTTTGACAAACTTACCAAGTGAGTTTAGGTTTACGCTGCTTGTAGCAATGTTCCAGCAACATCACAGAAATAGACTGGAGAAAGTGTACCAATGTGAGGAATCGAACCCGGATCTTAGGCGTGACGAGCGAACGCTATAACCACAAGGCTACCCCACCGCCCCAGTCATACAGCAATCAGCATGATATACTTCACTGGTTAGAAAGTAGATCCCCGTGACCAACCATCACAATATTCTCCACAAAACTGAATGGGAAGAGGATGAATGACTTCGAGTTTCTAATAACCCCTCAAGCAACATTCCTGTAGCTCCAGCCTTTGGTGTTGACATTTCCCACCTATTTAGGTCAAGTTAGGCATCTTTTACCAAGAGCATCCTATAACACTTGCCCTGAGGTTGTTTGATAAAGGTTACGACATTCAATTCCTTAGTAAACCTTACCAAAAGGTTCGTGGCAGACATCTGGACGACACATAAGAAAAATGACGCCACAGTGACCAAAATGATGTCAGATGCGATTATCTATTTTGACTTAAACCATATATTCCGCTTTTTGTTCAAGTGAACAATTGACTAGCAATTACATTGTGCTTATGATAATGCAACTTTAGAGCAGGCTACGAATTTTCGTGAACATCTGAAATCATCACTAGTTGAAAGTGATTCATTTATACATGATAAAGTCGGAATCTGTAATTGTTATGGATGTCAAATTCTTAAACATTGTTTTATACCCAATCAAGTTTATTTCGTTATTCCAGACACTGCAACCGTTCTCCCACGTCTACCCGTAAAGATCCGGGCTAGATTTGATCTTCAGTATCCCATGCTTGTCGTAAGAGGCGACTAGTGGGACAGGGAGGTCAGGCTCGTTGACTTTGTTGACACATGTCATCGTATCCCAGTTGCGTAGATCGATGCTCATGCTGTTGATTACTTACAGACCGCCGCCATGTAGCTGTAATATTGCTTAGTGCTACGTAAAACTAAACGCAATCAACCAATCAATCAATTTCACAATTCAGGCCGCATGGCCCATAGTAATGTGTAAGATAAAGTATAGTTAGGTCACATATCCAGAGTGTTACATCCAGAGTGTTTTATCACTTATTGTTATGGATAGACAAACATCAAAATACTATCCTTAACTACATACATTCCAAAATCAATATCTACAGACATTTTAGTGAAAATGGCAAACATTATTTACTTTCAAGGTTTCTTGACCTATGGTACATTCATCATGACTCATGGCGATACGGAACCTTTCGAACTGTATCTTTGATGATGATGGTGACCCTTGATATTAAATCAGTAAGCCGAAAGAAATGTATGGGGGCTATATGCATGTTATGATAGTATGAAGATTTCCTAGCATCGTGTGGTCTCATAGCAAAACCCGGTCAGATTTAGGCAACACGTAAGAATCGCTAATTTATTAGGTTTCAAAACAAGAAGTTATAAGCATGTCCTGCTCAAGCGGTAGCACAACACTATACATCAAGTGCCATTAAACACATTCTGAAAAAGTCTGGATGTCACAGCATAGGGACGTATAAGCATCATATTGACAAATGCCTCTGAATGTATGCCATCAAATATCAGGTATGACTTAACCAGGCCTTCAAGGATGTAGGATAATAAACGGGTTTAATGTATTACAGAGACTTAATGTCACAGTGTGCGTTATGTGGGGAAGCAACATCATGATTTATAAAAACAGAAAGATGGTCATTTTTTAGAACTTGCGGGATAGTTTAGCTACTTTAGGCTGTTTCATAACCAATCCGCTATATAATCCTTCATGTGACCCTCGGCTGTCAGAGAGCGGTAGCTGATCGTTAACTCGGGTCATTAGATGGGAAAGCGATCAAAATAATCATGATTGACTACCTTCGGTTATTCTACCTTCTGTTTTGGACTACTGATTTATCATCATTGCTGTAGGCGGCGAGCGTGGCATCAGTAGAAAGCCAGGTTAACGTTGGGATTACTCTTGTAAATTGACCATCGAGAGATCGTTAGATGCCTCAAGACGGATGTTATTGTAAAACAATCTCTGTGAGGACGCATAGACATACGATCCAGTGTCCACCCACGTAAACTTGACATTGACCTTTTCTCGACTGAATCACCAGTCTGTCATTGCCTTATAAGTCCACCTTCGCGTCACGAGATAGCCTCTGACATATTGTGTACGTCAGGATGGCTAAGAGAACAGTCTTGATACTTCGATATTTTGACTTTGACAATATTATTCTCTCATTAGGAACCCACGATTCCGGTTCAAAATCTGACAGCACCATGTTTGTGGGTTTCAGTGATGTCGTGATCGTCTAGGACCTATATCGTTACGGGATTTAATCCCACATTAAGCTGTGATATGACTGGAATCCTGTACGAGTTGTCGATTCAAATGGACACTGAACCAAACTCTCTGACTCATTCACTTTTATTATTATTATTATCATTATTATACAGATCAATACGAATAAATACAGCTAGAAGGTCTCGGGTGATCCTTCCTCACTGAAGTGCGTGAGTGAGTTTAGATTTACGCCGCTTTTAGCAATATTCCAGCAATATTACGGCGGGGGACACCAGACATAGGCTTCACACATTGTACCCATGTGGGGAATCGAAACCGGGTCTTCAGCGTGACGGGCAAACGCTTCAACCACTATGCTACCCAACCGCCCCTTCCGCACTCACCATTAGGTCAGGGCCCCTTGTCCTCGTTATCCAGAGTTTCAGGAGGGCTGTGTTCTTGGCAGTACATTTTCGCCAGTGTATGACACCATTTTTCGAACTATTTTGAAACATGGCCAGTAACACCAGTGTGTGTCCCCAACATTAATAGTGTTTGAGAAAATGTTCCCGGTTTTATGCAGTTTGAACCAAGTTGAAAAACATGGAGCAGGAGCGTTAAGGCTGTAAAAATATATTTAAGACTACAATTTTCTTGTAGGACTAATAACATCAGTGTGTAAAATATGAGTTCTCAAAGTTCAATAGTTTTTGTGAAAACCCATTTTCCCCATTGAGAAGTCGACTGAAAGACGGAAGATAACAATCCCAGTAAATCCTTCATGAGAACTGGAGAATCGACTTCTCACCTCACACCTGATTCCCAGATTCTGCTTCTGATTGCCATGGAAACCAAACTTTAACTCAAATGGTAAACAATGTAGCATTTTGCGAAAACGTGTTAGCAGTGTTGTGTTCTTGGGCTCAGAAGGGTGGATTAAGGTATATACTAGGTTCCCTAGCCTATAACTAATCTTCTGAAGCGTTTTGCTAAAATACGAGTGATTCAAGGATGTGGACAAGCTATCTGCAAAGACGGTTCACAAATGTTGCACGGAAATCTGTAATGGTGATCTCTTTCCTTAGTATTGTGTTCTAAATGTTAACAGTTGTTCTCAAATGGCAAAGTTGAAAACGTGATGTGCGGAAAGTAATTTATAATCAAGATTACATGTGTGTGGGCGAGACGATCATTGCCACCTATTAACAAAACTGACAGTACTGTGTTTGTTACATCGCCTATATTTGTCGGTCTGTTCAGAGTACTTTTCTTACCTCACACATAAATGTCTTATTGGCTGAGCGCTCTTCTATTATTTTCAATGTACCCGTTTACAAGCGAGTAACATTTCATTGTACCTCGCTATCAATGGCAACTCATTTTGTACTTCGTGGTAGTAATTCTTTATCTCGACTTACATTGAATCACGTATGATGTACGGAAATTACCGATGTTTTGCGAATGCAAATCGATGGAAGGGACATAACTCTAAATCTGTTTTTCTTGTCAGCAAAATCTAGCGATGGCTACAAAAAGATTTGTACCCGCGCTTCAAACAATTCAAAATTAAATTAAGGTGTTCGGTAAGATAAATACGTTGTTCATTGGTCCCTCGGGGCCCATGGGTTGATGTCCTTTCGATGTTTGTTTATGTTCCCCTCGCCCTTCGGGCTCAGGGAACATAAACAAACATTGAGTGTACATCAACCCATGCCCCCCTCGTGACCAGCGAACAACTTAATGTTCCAGTTTTCTGTTGAAGATTCACGTTGTGCAAGGCACGTGGGTATTATCATCACATTGTGTTGACAATTTGAAAACAATGCTTATGAATTAATTCAGTTGGGGACAAATTCCCCCAAAGAATAACCCATCTAACAGCTACTCTCAGGATTTAACTATCAGTTGTCCTTTGGGATTATGTGAATATATGTTTTTTTTAAAAAGAAATCTCAGCTAAGAATTTCTTTGAATGATTATGCATACGACGTTGGCTATTTGTACATCGTCGATGTTAACTGTTGGCTTCTGTTGGAATCGTAAATTCCATTTTCGACATTCTGTCAACCAAACCAAACTAACAACACAATGTATGAATTAATTCAAAATAACACTATATGGTTTGTTTCTTGATTTGTCTGTCGGTGGTTATGTGTTGTGTTAGATATGAGTCCCAGAGACATATCACTACCTTGGATGCATTCTTCACACAATATGTTGAATTAACTGAACCTGGTGGGTATTTTGTTCCGAGACGTATGACTAACTTCGAAGAAAAATGTTGAATAAACTGAACCAAGTGGATGTTTTTTCCTCGAGACGTATGACTATTTCACACAAAAATGTTGAATGAACTGAGCCAGGTAGATATTTTGTTCCCGAGACGTATGGCTAACTTCACACACATATGTTGAAGGAACTGAACCAGATGGATATTTGTTCCGAGACGTATGGCTAACTTCGAAGAAACATGTTGAAGGAACTGAACCTTGTGTGACACAAACATTGTAAAAGGTTTTCTATTTCAATAATTGATACTGAATTCAAGTCTGACTTAAACAGTAAAATAAACTCCGCTAAATATTTTGAAGACATGTCATGACAAACCAAAAACACCCCATCATATCTGGCATTTAATATACTGTGAGTGGATTGACGTGTATCGGAGATCCACTGAAGAACTTATCGACACAATGCAGTCAGCATAGATAAGGCATCAAGAGAAATGTTCCCAACTGTGTCTATCGGCATTTTAATGTTGAAAATCACTCCATCCTGAAGACATGTCCATTTCGCTTTTATACTGGATGCCTAGCTCCATACAAATTAACACAGAAATACATTGCTCGGTCCAACAAATGTACCACCGATTCCTTGTCTCAAATATAAATCATAATCGGTAAGACTATCACGGAAGGACTTTCTCTATATTTACAGAAAGTATTTGAGACAGGCAGAATTAATACCACGTGGATACTCAAAGCCTCAAAGTGTTTGTTTGAATCTTGACAATCTCAGAAACAGGAAGCAGAGACAAACATTTCAAATATGGTGGACGTCTTCATCGATAACATCTATGTAAAATTTAGGGGTACGCGTTAAAACAGGAAGACCAATTATACTACGCGGATAAGTTTCTTCATGCAAATGAATTAGAATTTCTGCTCGGATTGGCAAAATCAAAACAAGGCAATTTGGCCAGGAAGTGTAACTTAAGCTTTAGGTGTGTCGATGATCTAATATCGTTCAATAACGATCAAATGGCCAATTCCAGTCCACTGATTTACGCAGCTGAACTAAAAATAAAGGAAACAAGTGAGACCGCTTCATGTGTGCCATATTTAGATCTATGCATAAAGATAGATTCAGAATGACAAAAAGGTCTCCACGAAACTGTTTGGCAAAAAGGGATGATTTCAACTGTCCAAGAATCAAATTTCCTTTCATGTCGAGCATTGTTCAACAGCTGTAGGTTCTGGTGTTAACATCTGAGGTACACTCGAGCATGCTCTTTTCACCAAGATTACAAACAGCGCCATAACACTCCTGTGCAGAGGTTGTTGGATCAAGGTCACAACATTGAAGGCCTCAGTGAAGTTTTCAAACAGTTTTATGGTAGCCATGTGGAGGACGTTTCAAAATCTGATGCAACGGTGACAAAAACTATGTCCGATGCAATTCCGTATTTTGACTTGACCGGCCTTTGCATGTGTTATTGACCGGCGGTACCGGTGGGGCAGGATATGTTCACCTTCTTGCGAACACGTGGCATCATCACTATCCAATAGTGATCCATACACACATACTTTTACATCGTATCTCATGATATTTATCACTGGATAGTCTGGTTCAGACTCAATTATTTACGGACTACAGTGATACAGCTTTCATATCGCCGAGAGCGGCGTTAAACATACAAACAATGCTCATATTTTAGTCGGAATTGTACAATCGACTGTGCTTTTAACAGTTATTCCTTATGGATATTGAAAGGGTTTTGTCGCTTCAATGTACCTAAAATACCTTTTATATAATTCCCGAGACACGAAATGGGCTTCGGATCAAATCGCAAACATTGCCTTGACTTGATGGTAGAAAGTGCATATAAGACATATGTCTCTTTTATAATATTTGTCTTTACAGTATGAGGAGTAAGTAATCTGAAAATAATCCGGTTGTTGCTTGGCTTTTGAATAAAATCAATTGTGTGCAAACAATGTTCTTTAATGAAGCATGGATAACTTTATCGTTTATTAG